TGTAAATCAGCAGTAGTGTAATAATTAATTGTAGTACGACCTGCATATGTTTAATAAATCCAATTAGGAATCCGAACCCAGTCTCTAGTCACTGTGACACTTGACAGTATCGATGTTGATGACGGCGAAACGTCAGAGATCTGTCAGACAGAGCATGTTTGCTACTGAAGGCAAACATAAGCGGAGATGTGAGACCAGAAAATTGAAGAAAAATAATCCGTTTATTTCCTTGAGAAGTGCACTGGAAGAATTCTGGCTCCGCCTCGCGGACCTGCCATCCAGTCACGACTGACCAGCTGTGAGACCCATGAAATCTCCAATCCAATAGCCACCGGGATAAAGCGGCCGGGACGTGAAGCTGATCGCTCACCTTCATGTAGTGCCGAGATCAAAAATGGTGAAGCTATGCCTCCATTCCCCACATGTCTTCATGGCATAATGCTTGATTAATTAAGAACAGGAACAATTTTACATTTGCCTTATCCTTTAGAAAATAGAAGCCCTACTTCAAGGGACACTGTATTTGTGCTCATCTATCTGTGGTAACCTGTAAACAGAATGTAGAGTGTTTATCCTAGAAACTGCGCATACGAAGAGCGCGCATACACGTCACTGCTCTGCGAAACCTTGTTCTCTCGCCCGTGACACGGTATTACAAGGCCTTCCATCTTACTTACATGTATTCTCCTCCATTTTGTGACAGGCGGTAAGCAATTTGCTCTTCACTTCCCTCCTCAGTTCCCTCACTTGGATATTTCTTTCATCAGACAAATTGATGTGTGCTCTACTGAGCTCGAAACAGAACGAGGAAGGTAAAGGAACACAGCAAAGAAAAGAAAGAGGTACGTCGCTTTTGGGAGCGGGGGAGGGGGAGAGGGAGGAGGAAGAGGAAGAGGATGATTCTCCTGTGCAACTTGTTGGAAATACAGAATATCTCAGGAGGAAAGGTCAATATTCCGGGAGGTCACAGAATCGGCCATTCTAAGCAAAAAAAAAAAGTATATGTACACGTGTCCTATTTCGAACGGTTTCCGAGGTACAGCTGTTTCACTGTACAGTTCCAAAACTGTTGATAAGAAAGAGATATTATGTACTGTTTCTAATACCGGTATTTATTGTTCAAGTGAAAAGTTGATACAGTTTACCTAGTTGTACATTCTCGAAAATTCCGCCGTAAACGTCAATGCACTTTGCAACTCGTGTGAGGACATGGCGTGTTGCTCATCTGTACAGTGTACAGTGTACTGTACAGTGAAATAGCTCTATCTCGGTGAAACTCGTGTGAGGACATGGCGCGTTGCTTGTCTGTACAGTGTACAGTGTACTGTACAGTGAAATAGCTCTATCTCGGTGCTACTCGTGTGAGGACATGGCGTGTTGCTGTCTGTACAGTGTACAGTGTACTGAACAGTGAAATAGCTCTATCTCGGTGCAACTCGTGTGATGACATGGCGTGTTGCTGTCTGTACAGTGTACAGTGTACTGTACAGTGAAATAGCTCTATCTCGGTGCAACTCGTGTGATGACATGGCGTGTTGCTGTCTGTACAGTGTACAGTGTACTGAACAGTGAAATAGCTCTATCTCGGTGTAACTCGTGTGATGACATGGCGTGTTGCTGTCTGTACAGTGTACAGTGTACTGTACAGTGAAATAGCTCTATCTCGGTGCAACTCGTGTGATGACATGGCGTGTTGCTGTCTGTACAGTGTACAGTGTACTGAACAGTGAAATAGCTCTATCTCGGTGCAACTCGTGTGATGACATGGCGTGTTGCTGTCTGTACAGTGTACAGTGTACTGAACAGTGAAATAGCTCTATCTCGGTGCAACTCGTGTGATGACATGGCGTGTTGCTGTCTGTACAGTGTACAGTGTACTGAACAGTGAAATAGCTCTATCTCGGTGCAACTCGTGTGATGACATGGCGTGTTGCTGTCTGTACAGTGTACAGTGTACTGAACAGTGAAATAGCTCTATCTCGGTGCAACTCGTGTGATGACATGGCGTGTTGCTGTCTGTACAGTGTACAGTGTACTGAACAGTGAAATAGCTCTATCTCGGTGCAACTCGTGTGATGACATGGCGTGTTGCTGTCTGTACAGTGTACAGTGTACTGAACAGTGAAATAGCTCTATCTCGGTGCAACTCGTGTGATGACATGGCGTGTTGCTGTCTGTACAGTGTACAGTGTACTGAACAGTGAAATAGCTCTATCTCGGTGCAACTCGTGTGATGACATGGCGTGTTGCTGTCTGTACAGTGTACAGTGTACTGAACAGTGAAATAGCTCTATCTCGGTGTAACTCGTGTGATGACATGGCGTGTTGCTGTCTGTACAGTGTACAGTGTCCTGAACAGTGAAATAGCTCTATCTCGGTGCAACTCGTGTGAGGACATGGCGTGTTGCTTGTCTTATCTCAGGAAATAGAACTCTTCGAATTTACATTAGGTTGTCACAGAACGAACACCATTCCAGTAATATTATGAAACTGAAACCGATGCAGTGTTGCCCTTTAGTTCTTTGCGCTCTTATAAGTTATCCTTTGAACCTGTAAGGACATATATTAACAGGATCTAATTCCTTTTTCAGATCCAGATAATCGGCAATACGGAACTATTTAACGAGCGGCATTTTCCTGAGCAATGAAATTATGACGGCACTCAAATATTACTTTCTTTAACACGCCTATCATTTTGGATGTTGCTGGATTTGATATTCTCATATGATAATTTTGGTATGTGACATCATGCTGTCTGGTAATATTTCACCGAAGTTTCGGAGAACTTAATGTCTCCATCTACAGGGTTGAATTTCCATTGCGGCTGCCAGGGTTCGAGCCTAGGTCAGGTGGGATTTGTGGTCGACAAAGTAGAAATGGGGAACGTTTGATTCCAATGCTTTGGTTTCTCCTGCCAACTCTCATCCCACCAACTGTTTCATAATCAAACGGCAAACTACTGTGTCTGGCTGCGGGGCACAGCACCCCAGAAGCATTCATTATTTCAGGCACATTCCGGCATCTCCTCTTTTATAAACACAGCAACTCAAAATTGGACATACATCGTCCCTTGTTAGAGAAAAAATGTTCATATTCTAATGGGCCCAAATGTGGCGGAAAACCTTCCTCCCTTAAACATGTTAACGGAAAGAGATACACTTTCCTAAGCATTTAAAATAATATCCATGTTTATTATTACGCGTTTCACACTTAACTCCGTGGCTTTAGTAAGCATGCGAACTATACCGACCGAGTGACCGCCGCTTGTCGGCGAAGTTAGTGCCAACTTTAGCGGATAGAGGGTATCGCGTGGTCAGCGCAACGAATCCCCACGGCCGTTAATCTCGATTTTTTAGACCGGAGCTGCTACTTTTCCATTCAAGTAGCTCCTCACTTATCCTCACGAGGCTGAGTGCACCCCGTTCCAGACACACTACTTCTCAGAAAATCTGGTAGCGACGAGAATCGAATCCGGGACCTGTGGGTCTGTAGTCAGGAACTCTGACCACTAGACCACAGAGGCGGTCCACGTCGTTCCCTTAGCTACATTTTTCTTTCACATACTGCCGTCCTATCGTGTGAAACAATACACATCGGAATAATCGCTAACGTACACGGAGACACTCAAATACTGGAACTCCTACACAACAAGATGGACGCCCAGCAAAATTTTGCGTTCGAGTGTTCGGTTGAAAATAAATTTTTGTTACACAGACACGAAAGTTTGCTCGCAAATATAAACTCTCATGTTCTGTACAGAGGTTATGTAGTGCCAGGTCTCTGGTTCATTTTTAGAGCATCTCAAAAAATATATTGTCTCGTTGAGAAAGAAAATATTTCGCGGGAGACTTTACCGGTAAAGAACAAAGAGAAATGTGGGGCTTATGATAACACATACATATTTTCATATTCAGAGTAATTCTTTACATGGTAGTTCTTGGCAAGCTGACAGTCGCTCATTCAGCCAATAAATTATCCAACCTTTTTTAGCATTCAAAGGTTCGCTATAGTATCCACAGGTCCCTATCCTGACATTCTATTTACTCGTATTTCCCACTAATTTTGATACAAATAAAAACCGTCCTTCTATGCCTTGATCTTCTGAGTGTACCCTTTCCTTCTGTTCCGTCCATTCGCCTTACCATGTTCTGGCATATAACCCTGTGTAGTTCGTTGAAACTCAACCGACGTTTCGGGGGAATATGTTGTATTCTCTGGCTCTGCTTACTATCTGCGTCACGCTGTCTTCTTCCTTGTCTTATTTTTCGACACTGAAGACGAAGACGGCATGTTCCTCCGAAACTTGACTTTCAACAGACTACACCGCGTTACACGCCAGAGTATAGAACTCTTCATATCCACCGGTGTCAGAACCTCAAATTCTACGTGATATTGGAGAGTTTTCTGAAAATTTTGACATGTCAGGTTTGGTTAAAATTGATAGCTCTACATGCGTTCCTGCGAGGAGCTCCTGTATCTGAAGTAAGTTGTTAAATATTTATCAAGCGAAAAATTATTCAAAGGAAAGTTATGTGAGAAAGAGATTTAATTCCAAGTGACACATCCTCAAATGTTACGTTTTAGAAAGAATCAAACAAAAGACGGGCGTTATGTACCTGCACCGGTTGCTATGTATACATCTCCTAACTTGTTATATTCGCCTTAAACAGAGAATTAAGTCGTCATAAACCTGCTACATTTGGGTTAATTTCTCGGTTCGCCTTATGCTCTGCAAAGCATATAGAGCAGGGGTCGGGGAACTTTTTTACTTATTACCCCAAAATATATTTATTTACGCCGACGTTACCCCCTTGATTTGAAAGAGAGAAAATCATAGATTATTCAAATTCAAAAGGTTTATTGAATCTATTATATGGAGAATACAATTATAAATATAAAAAGTATAAAATAAACGCGATAAAATACGAGTAGATTAATATCCTCATTATGACACAAAAGGATTTCTTAGAAATTTTTTTTCACTTCAGGTTTTGGAGAAATTATGTTGTTTCATTTTTGATACAATAACACCAAAATTGGGACATTTTGATGTCAGAGCAATTTGCATACTGTCTTCGGGGTCCAATCGATTTCTCTGCTTTGTTTTTATGTTCAGTAGAGTGGAAAATCCTTTTTGCAAAGGGCAGCAACTTTTTGACTGCGTCCTCATGTGCAATTTTGAAAGCATTTGCAGCTCTTGACATCCAAAAATATGACAGATCTGCTTTGTTTTCAAATTCAATACGTGCTTCATTATTGGATCGAAGTTCAAGAAGTGCCCCTGCCAAACCTTGAGGCTCTTCTGGTACATCAGCAATTTCACATTTAAAGGGATCTACAACCCAACTGACATTATGTGAATCAAGATCTGGAAAGTAATCATCGAACCGCTTTTTGAGTTTGGTAAGATGCCTTATAACTGTGTCCTTGATGTCGTCAAAAGTAATATTTTCACAATCTTCCAAAAACAAAGCCAACCTTGGAAAGGCAGCAATCTTGTTTTGTTCTGCTTTCTGTCTCCAATATAAAAGCTTTGATTCAAACGCTGAAATCTTTTCTCTGGCTGAAATTATATTGATGTTTTTTCCTTGCAATTCTTTGTTCAATGCATTCACATACTCAAAAATGTCAGCTAAATATGCGAGATGTGCAACCCACGAGGAGTTTGTAAACTTATCTGCGAGAACATGCTTTTGATCAACCATAAAAATTTCAAGTTCAGTTTTGAGAACCCACACTCGGTTCAGAACATTTCCACGTGACAGCCACCTCACTTCTGTATGATAAAGTAGGTCTGTATATTCAGCCTCCCCATCTGTACATAATTCACGAAATAGTCGCGTGTTTAGTGCATGTCCTTTGACGACATTGACAACGTTGATAACATCATGCATGACGGCTTCCAGTGCAGGTTGCAAACGTTTCACAAGCAGTGCCTGGCGATGGATCATACAGTGGTTAACTGGGGACAAAACCAGCTTCGAACTACTGTAAGATACTAACCCAGAATTTCTCTATAGAAACAGTGTTGAAGAGTGGGCGTACAACCATCTGGGATTGACACCGTAAAGTCTCGTAGAAGTTCACTGATGTTGCGCCTCCATCTTCAGTGCTGAGAAATAAGCCAAGCAAGTAACCACGCAGTAAGCAGTCGACCCTGAAGATGGAGGCGGTATGTTCCTCCTACCTTCTACCAGACTACACGGCGTCAGGTCTCAGAAGATTTCTGTGATGATTTCGAATTCAGTAATATTGACAGTGTTTTCTACAATATTCCTATACTGTCCTAAACGTTATCGAATGATGCGTCGAGGCCGACGTTTAACGCAATGCCCCACGAAAACAAGCATAAATAACCAATCGTAAACCGTCTCATTTACATACTGTAGACTCACACTGCTCTTAACATATCCACATCAAAATATTATTAATACCCACAGAATAGACACGATACACAGAAACAAAAGACTGCTCGCTCGTTTAGTGGCACACAACCCTCGAGAATATGTTGCTATGGTAACCCCAAAACTGAGTAATTTCAGAACTTTCATCTAATTATTATTTTACTATTTTATAAATATAGAAGGATAATGCACTGTCATGAACCAAGAATGGCTATGCTGGCGAGGGCCATCAGAAATTTAACCGACAGACTGCCATGAACCTTTCATATTACGTTCGTTGTACCTGCCTCTCCACATTGCAGCTCAACTACCAATGGGAATTGAAAAGTCACTATAAACAGTTCTTTCACCTCTACCATTTGCACGCACCAGCGAAACGTAGTCACAACTGCCCAAATCAACATCTTCAATGGTTCATCACGAAAGCCTGAAGTCAATACTTATAAAATTCTTTCATGATTCATGGTTAACTTTTATCATGCTTGTTCTCGAGTGTGTGTGGAAATTTCTGTAAATCTATCTTATGTTATCATGCAATAACTTTAATTTCTGACATGTGCAACCGGCATTTTATTATAAGATTAAGCGTTTGAGACTCCGGCAGGTCCCATACAGACGTAAGGACCACGTAGCTGATCTTCAATGACCAATAATTCTAAGCAAGATATCTCGTGCGTAACAAGGAAACCGCTAACATATTTTGACTTGCCTGTAAATGCTGGTCCAGCAGAGAATCAATTATAAAAATTGCAGCCCTTCAGTCTGATAACATAAATACCGTTACAATTAAAGGGCAATTAAGTTAATATGCATTTAAAATATAAACCAATAATTATTAAAAAAAATTATAGGCCCAGTTTTGGTTGCCAAGTACAAAATAAATTACACATGAAATTATATGATAAGTAGTACATAATTTATGTTTTTTTCTTACTTAACAAGAATGTCTGTGGTTTTGTTAGATGTTAATTATTAAACTTTTTTCTTTTGGGGTTTAATAATCTCCTTAACAAATTAAGTTTAATTTAAATCGAAATGTCTTTCATTTCAGTAAATCAAGCTGACAACTACAGCTAATTCGGCCATTTTCCTTTTTTTCATTTAAAGCATTTACAGAGTTGAATATTCAGCAGAGGCAAGTCAAATGCGCCCTTCTCTGTAGCAAACAATCTTTTCTTTCATCTAGTTAAAAATTCTCCCAACAGATGGCTTCAGTTTAATTTTTAACTTGATTAATGTCTGTTCTGTCTTGGTTTAATACACACATTATCCTCTTAATCATCTGCAATTCTAGGCCCTAAAGATTAGGAACAGAAAAAGGAAATGTATTTAATGTTTCACCTGCTTACAGAGGTACAGTTGGCATATATATATATATATTCAGACAACGTGCATTCCGAAACATAACAAACAATGCTGCATACGAAACTCTCACAGCGGTGAGATTATTTCTGGAAACGTAACGTCGTGTTGTCTGGTAAAAGTCCATATATATTTCTGAGCAATATAATGCCTGAATATAGGGCCGATACTTGCTTCCGAAAAGTCGGTAAACTTCTACCAATCAACACAGTGACACACAGTCATAATCATCTCGCGTGAAAGGTTAAAGTACAGATCCTTTCCAATATTATCCTCCCATTTACACTTAGGTCTTCAAAACAGTCTATTCCCTTTAGGTTTTCGGATGAAAATTGTGTATCCATTTCCTGTTTCTCAGATGCGCGGCAAATGCCACGTCTATCTGATCTGTAGGCTCATAATTTAGGCGCGGAAGCCTCCCAGGCAGAAAAAAAATTCACGAAGTTCTAATCATCTGTACTTTGCTTCTTCCTACTTAGGCCCAAATACCACACCTCCCTCGCACCCTGTTCTCTGATACTCTCAGATTTTCCTTAAATTTGAGTGCTCAAGTTTGAAAACCATACAAAACAACTGGTAAAATCATAGGTTCGTGTACAATAAATTACTGAGTATATGAATATAAAGAGATATTGTTACGTTTGTGTGTGTGTGTGTGTGTGTGACTATAGAAGGGTTTTAGATTTGTCACTCCATTTATTGACGACTTATACACACGACTCTGAACTACAAGTAACTACAGTGCCACTGTTAATCTCCAAACCTTACAAATCACTACAGCACCAGCTAAACCTTTTTTTCAGCTTGCTGTGGCTTCACCAGCCGTTCCCTAGTAACGGCCTCTAAGAGTGGAGATTCTTCAGCTTCACTCGCTCAGGTGCTCTTGTCACAGCCGCCCGTGCAGAACTCTTGTCAACTGTCAACTCAACTATAGCGCCATCTCTTCTCAGCCTCCCTTGCAGAGCTCCACTGACTGGTTGCCCCAGTTCTTTTCTCTTTACAACTTCTCTGCGCGGACCGCGTAGGCAACACGCCGTTTCTTCTGTTCCCGCGGGAACGTGTTTACCTAGCAGTTGCCTAAGAAACGGTTTTGACATAACCGCCCATTTCACGATCTTTGCATAGCAACGGCTATACGTACTATAGTATGTACGTAATATATATGCCGATCACAGTGGCCGTGCGGTCTGAGGCATGAAATATATCTTCGCCCTCTCAAATACTGGGATCATGGGTTCGAATTCCTCTCGAGGCATGAATGTCTGTCCATGTTTCGTCTGTGTTTGTGTTGTTCTGTGTGTATGTAGAGGCCTTGCGAGAGGCTGAACCATAGTCCTAGGAGTCCTATCGACTGTCTGAAAGGTTCATAGCTTCAGATTAATTCTGGATGGGAACGTGCCAAAGAGGCAGAAGGAAACGTTCTGTATAATTCGTATGATAAGGCTTCTGTTGTAAATATGACAAAATTAATTACTTAATAAGATTTTAGCGTAAAGACCTCATATGAAATGTACTGTAAGTTTTTAGAATGTATATTTATATTTATACTCGTTAGAATGCGTTAAAATTACGAGTATGTCTGTGAGTTGCTCCATGAAACTTTAATGCATTTCATGTATATACAGTTTTTGTTTATGAACCTGAACATGTAAATGAAACATCTTCTAAAGGTTCGGCCACACAGAACGCTACGCTATGTTCGCTACGTACGCTACGTACGCTGTGTACACTCTGCGACACAGCTAACATAGGGAACATAGCGTACGTAGCGTACGGAAGTCTATGTGGCCAGTCACATTGGCAATAAAGGGAGATATTTTTCTGTTCGTATAGCGAACATAGCCTACGTAGCGCTCTGTGTGGCCGAACCTTTAGTCTGATACCTTATATGGTATGATAATCTTTTGGTTTTCCTTCATCGGTTTTGTCTGAGGACGGCTGACGGCCAGGAACCTTTGAAAACCTTAATCTTTTACAGCCCTGATTTCTGGCCTGTTTCAACTCGGAATTAGTTCCTAAGGTACATATCATTTTGATATATGATGTGACGCTTGGGCGGGGGATTGGCCTCTCATAAGGCCTCCGTAGCTATACAGGAAAGCTAAAAGGCGGACCAACAAATCTACAGGCCCGAAATCAGTACACGCCTCAGATCACGTGACCGCTGTGGATGAAATATAGTTACACGTTGCTAGGTAACTGACATTCGAATTAAAGTTTCTTGGTGTATAAAGGCACTGTTCATATCAGAACCTTGCAATGACAGTTAACAATATATTATAAATTCTATACGGTCCATAACAAATTCATCCTCCTCCTCAGAATGTGAAATAAACATAAAAATAAAACATACATTTTCTCTGCATGGCAATAAACTCTAGGTACCGCCCAAAATGTATTATCATTCTTTTAATTAATCATTTGTTATTCAGGAGGGATCGGGCATTTTGTGTTCATGTCAAGCATTAGGAACAGAATATAGAGTACAGCTATTATTTTCAAATGTTGGCAGCACAATGAAGGACATTTCCAAATTACATGCAATATAATTGGCAATACTGTAGCGGTCCAGTTATTACAGCGGTCAAAATATGTATCTTGTGAAAAAATATAAAGCCACTTAATTATGGAAGTTGCAAAATCCTGACTTTACGGCGTAACTAAAGTAGTGCGTTCTTGTATTACATTACCAAATGGGCTCGTCTCGTAGTCACAATGCTCATAATGAACACGCTAACACATCCTTTGCAAATGTGGCACAGTTCACATACTCGTATTTGGGAACAATGATAACAGATCGAAACCTGATTCAGGAGGAAATTAAGAGGAGATTGAACTCGGGTAATGCTTGCTACCATTCAGTCCAGAGCCTTTTGTCTTCTCGTCTGCTGTCCAAAAACATAAAAATTAGAATATACAGAACTATAATTTTGCCTGTGGTTCTGTATGGTTGTGAAACTTGGTCTCTGACACTAAGAGAGGAACATAGACTGAGGGTGTCAGAGAACAAGGTGTTGAGGAGAATATTTGGACCGAAGAGAGATGAAGTGACAGGAGGTTGGAGAAGCTGCATAATAAGGAGCTTCATAACTTGTACTCTTCTCCAAGTATAAGTACAATGATCAAGTCAAGGAGGATGATATAGGCAGGACAAGTAGCACGAATGGGGAAAATAGGATGCATAT